TGAAAGTTAGTTGTCAGCACTTGCATTTGTGAATCTCTTTTTAAGGGCTGATTACTCTGGGCTGAAAGTTGGCAGGCAAGATCTCAGCCCTAGAGCATTGTTTGGGATTTTGCATGTTTTTAAATAACAGATCTATCTGACTGGTTTGATTGAGAGAACACATGCTGCTACTCATACTCTTGTAACTCTAGACAGCACAACAGACTGCATAAAAGCACACTTTGAATATGAATTTGAAAAATTAGAGACTACTTCTAATGAAAGCTGAGGTGGGAGGATCAGGGGCTATACTCAAGGGAGGTTTTGCTGGAGTTGATGGGGGCTGTAGGGGTTTTGCTGGCTATATAACAATTGAGTAGATGTCTCTTCCAAGCTGTTTGCGAGGTTGTGGTGTACATGAATGCAGTGTGTGTGTGAAGATCTTCAGACAATTGAATATTAACTCTGCCAGTGCTGTGAGATACCTAAACCTGAACTGAAATGTGGTGTAAATGTTAGCCTGATGTTGGCACCACAGTAACATGTGTGGCTGAGAGTGGTCCCAGCTCTGCTTGGCTTGGCATCCAGACAAGAATGATCATGTGGTTGTGTGCACTTGTCTGTATAGTCATTCGGTGGACCATTGCTGGTTTGCATCTGGTATCTGCTGAAATGGAGTTCTTACAACAGGATGCATTTGAAAATATTTGCCAGTAAAGAGCCATGCTGTCTGTTACAAAAAAAACAACAAACAAAAAAAACCCAAAACCAAACACTCCCCCTCACCCCCCAAACAAACCAACAAATTTTTTATTTGTGGAAGTGATTGTGGATGTTTCAGAGGGAGACCAGCAGGCTGAAATACATGCTACTGGTGTCACTCGGCCGGGTGGTTCCAGTCCATCCTGAGAACATTCTTGTAAGTCCTCAGATTAACCACTGCTGACCAGGTGCTTGCAGGGGCAGATCTGTACAAATACAAGTAAAGAGTTACTGCCCTCATTGTCCTTATTATGAGAAAACAACTATGTTAAGGTGCTCTTCCCCTTCCTGTTGCGATTACTAATTCAGCAGACTGTGCAGTTGTTGTAGTTTTGGGTACAGTAAGGAATTAATGGTTCAATGTTGTGCGGTTTCTGAAAAAACATGATTTTACCTCAGGGATAAGTGTCTTGCCTGCTTACAAACCAAGTTCGAACTGCTTTTGAGCTTCAGTAAAATCCATGCAGTTTCTCTTGGTTTGGTAGTTCTGGAAATAAGTATTTGAGTGTCTCACGATGAACTTTGCTCTTGACATAATATATCTGAAGTTGTTGAACTTGACTAATTACTGTGATGACCGGATGGCAAGCCAGAAGGAAAATGAAAGATTTACTGTGGGCATTTACAGAACTGAAATTACCTATAATATTATGAATTTGTAATTGTATACTTCTAAATCAACTTACAAATGTGGGCCATTCTGTAGACTGTGTGACTAGACAGAATTTGTGGAAGACATGGATTTTGTTGTGAATCTGCTTGCTATAGACTAGAAATATAATTTAAAAGCTTATTTAAGAGATTGTGTGCTACTGAAGGTTTTTCTTGTGTTTTTTTAATAATTTGAATGAAAAAGTTGCGACCTACTTCTGATAGCTCAATGTTCTGCCATAGGTATTGCTGTCTCTGGCCCAAACAGATCTGCCAACTTGCATTTTTCTCCTACAAGTCTCCTACTTATATGCTGCTGCATATATTTGTGCAAAGGTAGACTTATGAACCAGCAATTCAGTGTATTTTTTAGTGTTGAACAACTTAACTCTTCAGTGGGATGATAATTGTTATTGCTGCATTAAAAAGCCACAGTTAACTTGCTCGCTAATTTGACTATTAAACTAGACTCAAAAGAAGATAAACTGTCTTCCAAACTGTCAATCCGAGTTTCCAGCACTACCAGATATTGTTAGTGGTTCCTCTAAATAAGCTTGTGTGTGAAGGTACGTATCAATACTAATGACAAACGTGATAAAACACATCCTGTGAAGAGCATTTAACATTTTGTGGTCTGTATTGTTTCTCTCCCTGAAGTAATGTTGCTTTTTCCATGAACACTGTTCTCTGACACGATAGTCATGGAAGCCTGCTGTCATGCAGGTTTTATGCTGGAAGAGACTGGCAAGTGGCAACTCTGCAGTGAAGAAGTTGATGGCACTAACTTCTGAGAACAGCCCTGCACATAAAGTCGATCTGGAGTATATCACAACAGCTGGGATAGTGCAGCAGAGCACTTGACGCCCTGGGCGCTTGTAGCAGTGTGACGTACTCAGTGAGGAAAGTTGCGAAGGAAACTCCTAGGTTCGGGGCTTTCCGTATGGCTTATGCATTTGCAGAAAGGCGATAGCTGACTGTTGTTAAAAGCATGGGACTTAAAAGGCAGGGTGAATATCCTCTTTAAACAGATTATAATAGTATCTCGCTTATTTTGAGAGCTGTTTTGAGAGCCATTTTGATCCTTGATGATCAAAATGCAACTTAAATATATGAGTTTGGCATTGTTGTTATAGAAATAAAAATAATTTGTTCACAAGGTGAGTGGATTACAACAAATCTGTGTAGCTAATGAGAATATGATCATTAGTCTGAGTAATCCAAACAAAGTTACCTAGAGCTTCAATCTAGACCTAGCCTGTGATAAGCATCTTGTGTAATCTTATCTAAAGGACTTCTGAAAAGCAGTAGTAGAATGATGTGCTGCTCTGCTGGTGGCTTGCCCAAGAAATTAGGAGTTGTAGTGTGCATGTTGCAGTCATGTGTTACCTATTGAGTTGACTAACAACTTGTCTACCCTCAGCTGAAATTAATGATTTAGCTGAATATTTTGTGCTTGATGGCCAGTCAGCAAATGCTTTAGAGGACGTATGTGTAGTGGAACTTTACTCTTGTTTGTTAGACTCGCATGATCTTAGCTGTTTTCCTTCCACAGTCCATAGATTTACAAAGTACTGGTGCTAACACTACATGCCAGAGGATGGAAGAGATTGCAGTGTGACTGGGAACAGGCTGACCCTAGAAGGGAGTGGGACTGTGTGAGATAAGCAGGCAACAGAGGGGCGCAAAGAAGTACCTTGGCATTGATTTGGGCATCACGATGCTGAGTAGATAACATAATTGCTGACTGAAACACATTTGTCTTTCTGTAAAGTAGACTTTAGCTTGTGAATCTGGACTAATGTGCATGCTCAAAGTTAGTATAAGAAGCAGTGGAGATTATATACAGCAAACACAAAATGTGAGTAGTCTTGTGCTCTTTTTGGAAAAATATTGATCCAAAATTTTAAAAGGCTAAAACCAATTTCTTTAAAGAATATTAACAGAAACATTCTTCAAGAAGCTTAGACACCTTCTACAGTGTTAATGTGCGCGCAGGTTCCCATGTGTGGGTTTGAGCAACACGGAGGCTAGCTACTTAATACTTGCATGTGAACAATTGCTTTCATCCTGAGGATGATTTTTGGTTATTTTACAAAATACAAACATCCTGAATCAATTCTAGACTTTCTGCCCTGTAGACTCTGTATGTTCATGTGTATGTAACCCTGTCTGTGAGGGGCAGTGTAATTCTTTTATTTCTTCTCTTGTTTTTTTTCTGTGTCATTTCTCCCTTATTTAAACAGTTTCTATTCCAAGACAAGAGGCAGGGTGTTAGGGGAAAAAAACTTCTGGGAATATAACAGTGACACAGTGCATGTGTTTCTTTCAAAAACATGTTTTTCATGCTGACTTTACGTCAGTAGCATGAAATGATAAGCAACTGTTCATCTAAACTGAATATTTCATCCTATTAGGGATGTCAGCTTATTTTTTTCTTCAACTGTATGTGCAAAATATGTTATCTTCTGCATAATCCTGTAATACAGATGCTTGAATCAGTTCATAGGTGATTGTCATAATTTTATTTTAAAAATTTGGCATATATTTAGTCAGTTGTATGAAAGGCTTTTGCTTTTGTCCATTTCATAGTATAATGTAGAGGAGATTCCGTGGAAGGCCAAAATGACATAGTCTGAAATAAATACTTTTTAACTCCAGTCTTTTGGAGTCCAGATACCCTGAAAGGAGATTATGCTGCTAAAGAATGGAATCATACCAGTACCTGCCATGTGCTGCTAATCTTTCCTTTTTGTTTTTTGAAGGACTTTGTAGAGTATCTCACCCTGAAGTTTGCTGTCACCAACTTGAAGGCAATAAATTTTTCTCACATTCTTGCAGATGGACTACTGGAATTTCTGAGTGAATAAGAAACTCAAAAAGCACATTACAACTTTCTCATAGTCCTTTTAGAAAAGAAAAATTTAACAAATTACCCTGATTTTACATCCCAATATTTACTTTCTGAGACTTTGTGCTTTAGATGAGTTTTTCTTGTTTTTTGAGGACCAGGTGTTCTGTAAAATAACTGTTAAGTAATAGCCTCAGATTTCAAAATAAAATCGCTGTCAGACTTTCAACTCTACCCAGTTTTCTACTTGTCTAATCAAATAAAATAACATTTTAGGATGATGGAGCTGAAAAACTTGTTGAGCGTTACTAATATAGCATAACTGTTGTAACATGCTTCTTAAAATTTGCAAAGATTAACTGACTATCAGAGTAGTTGTAGAAGACAAAGGCTGGTTTGTGACTAAATGCTGCTTAATAAGTTAAGTCTAGCAGGTGGTATGAAGAAGTCATGGTTTGAAAAACAATCTGTGTAATTAAGGTGAGAATCAAGTGAAACTTTCCCAGTGGAATTTCCCTGCCTGGTGCTGTGGCAAGTGTTCATCTGCACTCGCAAGGCAGCCAGCACCTGGGAACTGAGCATATCTGCAAGATGACTTTATCCTCGTGTTCTGCCATATTTTCCCCGAGCGCGTAATCCTGACTATATTGTTGGGAAGTTCTTTGGACTGTTGGTCTGAATCTGTGTGGTATGTGGAATGGCTGTGAATTCTCAGGAATTTCAACAACTGCTTACAGAATCTTTTGTCTTCCTGTTTCCGCAGCTTACAGAGGTGACCAGTAAAGTTCTCTCTGAGTAGCCAAAAAGCAGACAGCTCATGACTTCTGATCAGGACACTAAAGTTGTGGCTGAACCGCAGGTGCAGCAAGTACAAGAAGTTAAAGACGGTTCTCATCTTGTAAGTATTGTGATTACATATTCACCTGGTAGAGGTGTTGCATGTTTTACTATGTCTTAATTAAAATTGTATCTTGGAATATTTGAGAAGATAGTTGGTTGATAACATTGCAGTGTAAGATGCCAGAACAGAGCTGTTGAAGGTGGCTAATTCTCCATACAGAGTAGGAGCCTTAACTTAACTTTTCTTCATCCCTACAGGAGATTGAAATAAACTGCAAGTTACAACAGTTTGCACTCATTTAAGCTACAGGGCTTTTTAGGCTGTGTAGGAATTAACTGTATTGCCAATCATAGAATAGTTTGTGTTGGGGTGGACCTTTAAAGGTCATCTAGTCCAAACCCCTGCAATGAGCAGGGACCTCTTCAACTAGATCAGATTACTCTTGAGTTAGGTTCTAGCTCACACATCAACATGTGAGGAAAATGCAGCAAATCCACTTGGCATGTATCTGTGACTGAAAAAAGTACAAACCCGTACAAATAGGAAATTCCGTTCTATAACAGGAATTTTGCTCAGTCAGTTCTGCCAAATAGCACGTGCTGCTGCTTCTGTGCTACTGTGCAGAATCCAGTAAGCTGCTTTATGGGATGCTTTTGGCAGATCATACAGCAAATAGTACTGTATGTATATATGTTGCAGTAAATATTACATATGTCTTCAAGAAGACTGAATACTTGATTTGCGTGTAAACTCTACTCATAAAATGATCGTCTTTGATAGTTAACTCTATATTGGATGGAATGCTTTCTCCTGGGACATCTGGAAGGGTTCGGTTACAGTATATGTTCTGCTAGGCCCTTGGCCTGTCCTATGCAAAGCAGCAGATGCTTCTGTAACTTACCTTGCAGCAAGCAATAAGGAGCACTTTGAAAAACACTGTAAACTTGTGTTTTTCTTGGCTAAGGAAGCTGGTGGGTTTTTGTTTCTTGTTCCCCCTCCCCTCCCTGTTTTTTTAAATTGCTATGCTGGGTTGTCTTCTGCTGTGTATTACTTTTCTCAGATGTGAATTTTGTCAGTTTGACAGTAGAGGAAAAATTTTAACCCATTTTTGTGCCATACTTTTGAAAATTGGGCTTTTGTAGATGTCTGTCCGTCTGTCCCCCCTCTACTCAAGGCATTAATTCCAAGAAATCAGTGTGTAAGCTTGAGTAAGAGCCTCTTGCAGATTTGTTTCAAAAGCTTGGAACTGTCAGTGTACTTTCAGCAGGTGTGTTAGCATTAAAGGTGGCTTGTGCATTGGTATTAAAGGTGGTTTGATTAATCTTCACAATGATGTTAGTTCCTTTAATTTGACATACTAGAATTTTTATAAAGCTACATATAAACTGGCACCTGTATCTTAATTTCTGTTCTTTCATACTTATTTGGAGAAAGAGATTTTTCTGGAATTGAAAGACGTGGTTACTATCTGCTCTATTCCTTAGTAGAGGAGACTAATGTCAATTTGGGTATCTTCGTATGTATGCATAGTGCTATAATGCTGCATTTCAAATAACTAATTCTTATGAGATTAAAGTTTTCTCTTCAAATATTTTATTCCAAATAGATGAGACCTGTAGCTTATTAAGCTTTTTAAAGTTACACCAATATCATACTGTTACATGCACAGCATCAGAAGGTCGTTTTGTTATATGAGAATCATTGCTAATGTATGCTGTGAAGAGTGGTGTTTTCAGGATGGTCTCTTTGATAATGGCATGCTTGCATGAGTATATTGTGACAATTCTTCAGGACTTCACTTGCAAGTTTTGGGAACAAGGCTATAGTTTGAGGAAAAACTTTATGGAGTACAGGAAGAAGTTAGAAAGCTAAAGTCATTAAGACACTTTCGTCTTTCCAAAAATGTGATGGGGAAGGAGGAAAAACTTCTGAAGTCCTGACTTGATTGTATTTAACAAGTACATGCTTCTGAAAATCACCTGCTCTTTGTTGTGTGTCTTAATTATTTTGAGATCAGAGAGCTAGACTGAGTGAGGATATAGGTTCCTGTCTGTGATGATCCCTGTTTCAGTGTGTATTTGATATGGGGCCATACAGCTGTTGTAGCTAGTGAGATTTCTAGGGGTCTTTATACACTTAAAAGAAATTTGCTGAATTACATTCCCTAGCTGTTATGGCTATGCTGTGCACTAGGATCTGGTCCAAGTGCTTTTGTGGCAGTTCAGGAGGGAAGTTGTAGAATTTCTCCTGGAAATTTTGATACACCTCTAAATCCTGCAAAAATAACTCCCTGTTTGCTAATCTGAATTCTGAAATGATTATGTAAAGTATTTTTTGTTAAATCTTTAAATATTAACAGTAAATAAATTTTCCTAATTATGACTTCAGTCAGTCTGTTTTCTTTGGCAGGAACAAAACACACGTTCTGCTCTGAGTAATATTGAACAGATAGTCAGTAGTGACTGTATTGAAATGAAAGTTTTGGTGTTGTGATGGAACCCTTCAGAAATCACTTTCCAGGGTTGCTTAGGTTACTGTAACAGAGGTCAGCTGTTTGCTAACAGTTTTCAAAGGCTTAATGATGTGGTGAGGAAGCCAAAGTCATTTCTTCTGCCTTAAAGTAGCTATAAAGTTATGCTATTTAATGCCCAGTGTAGATTGATCGCAAGCCTAGTATAGTTCATTTCCAACAACAGCTCCTCTTGAATTTGGCTGATTTTAGTAGTATTTCACAACAGAACTTCAGTAGTTTTGCGTGCAAGTCAATTGAAGGAAATTGGCAGCTAGAGCATCCTTGTAAATTTCTTGTTAATGGTAGTTTACAAATTGGAGGTAACAATTTAGAGGATACTAGCAAATTCTTAGCCTTGATAAATTGGGGAGTTACATATGATGGTATTTCTGTCTTTTTTTAACCTAGAGACAGGCATCGTCTCTTCAGGTGACATCTGTTATTGGACTTTTTGTCTTGTTTGACTGTTACTCTTTCTGAGAAAGCCTTTGTCAGACTCAACCCGGGAAACACAGTGTTTAAGAACTGTTTTGCTCCCTTTTGACTCACTTCTGGTTTTTTCCATCAGTAACACTTTGCTGCTAGAAATTTGAGGTTACTGTCTGAGGGGAGAGGCCAAGACCCAAGTCCCATGGTGGAGGTAGTTTATATAGAATCATAGAATGGTGAGAGTTGGAAGGGACCATCTGGTTCCAACCCCCCTGCCATGAGCAGGGACATCTCTGCCAGACGGGATTTAACTAACAGAATCACAGAATCACAGAATGGTAGGGGTTGGAAGGGACCTCTGTGGGTCATCTAGTCCAACCCTCCTGCCGAAGCAGGGTCACCTACAGCAGGCTGCACAGGACCTTGTCCAGACAGGTCTTGAATATCTCCAGAGAAGGAGACTCCACAACCTCCCTGGGCAGCCTGTTCCAGTGCTCCGTCACCCTCAGAGGGAAGAAGTTCTTCCTCATGTTCAGACGGAACTTCCTGTGCCCCAGTTTGTGCCCATTGCCCCTTGTCCTGTCACTGGGCACCACTGAAAAGAGCTTGGCCCCATCCTCCTGACACCCACCCTTCAGATATTTGTAGGCATTTATAAGGTTCCCTCGCACTCTTCTCTTCTCCAGGCTGAACAAGCCCAGTTCCCGCAACCTCTCCTCGTAGGGGAGATGTTCCAGTCCCCTCACTATCCTCGTAGCCCTCCGCTGGACTCTCTCCAGTAGCTCTTCATCTTTCTTGAACTGGGGAGCCCAGAACTGGACA